TTGTAGAGATGAGGTCTCACCAAGTTGCCCAGGCTGGTCTTGAACCCCCAGGCTCAGGCAGTCCTCTCACCTCGGCCTCCCAAAGTGCTGGGATTATAGTTGAGCCACCGTGTCCAGCCAAAAGCCTCTTTCTTAAGGGTCCTTCCTTCCCAGATGCCCCAGATGCCCCTATCAGTCACTGTTCACATACATATAAGTGGCCCTTCTTCCCTATTTCATTTTTTCTCCTTAGTACTTAACACAGTATTTATTTAGAGTATTTAGTGTCTGTCTCTCTTCCCTACAATGTATTTATTTGGAGTATTTAGTGTCTGTCTCTCTCCTTGAGAGCTACCATGTTTCTCTCATCTCTTAGCTCCATTGCCCTAGGGTCTAGAATGGTAGCTTGTTCTTAGTAGGAACTCCATCAATTTTTTTTTTTTTTGAGTTGGAGTCTCATTCTGTTGCCTGGGCTGCAGTGCAGTGGCATGATCCCTGCTCACTGTAGCCTTGACCTCCTGGGCTCAAGCGATCCTTCCATCTCAGCCTCCCAGAGTAGCTGGGACTATAGGTGCATGCCACCACAGACAGCTAAGACTTTTTTTCTTGTAGAGAAGAGTTCTTGCTATGTTGCCTAGGTTGGTCTTAAACTCCTAGCCTCAAGCAATCCTCCTGCCTTGGCCTCCCAAAGTGCTAGGATTACAGGCAGGAGTCACTGTACCCAGCCCCATAAATTGAATGAATTAATTTGATTATAAATTTTCTGAAATTTAAAAAGATGTTTTGACTCCTTTAGACCAAATCTGTTTTGGTGAAGCAGTGAAAAGATCAACTGTCTTTGTTTTCATTACCCATCAGATTAGAAAGAGATGAGAAGCCTGACAATAAAGTGTTGGTGAGAAGTCTCCCTTGCCGCTAGAGGCTGCAAATTAGGTAACACCTGACAACCTCCATATTAAAGATGCATATTTTATACCCCAGGATTTCATTCCCAGGCATTTGCAGGGGGAAACTTCTCCAACATACACCGAAGAAGCCATGTACAAGGATGTTCATCACAGCCATGTTGATAATGGCAAAAAAAAAATTGTGGCTCACGCCTATAATCTCAGCACTTTGGGAGGCCAAGGTGAGAAGACTGCCTGAGCCCATGGGTTCAAGACCAGCCTGGGCAACTTGGCGAGACCTCATCTATACAATAAATCAAAAATTTAACAGAGCATAGTGGCGTGTGCCTGTAGTTTCAGCTACTTGGAAGGCTGAGGCAGAAGGATTGCCTGAGTCCAACAGATCGAGGCTGCGGTGGCCAGGAGTGTGCTACTGTACTCCATCCTGGGCGATAGAATGAGACTCCAACTCAAAGAAGGAAAAAAAAAGTCAACAACCCAAATATGCATCAGTGGGGAGATGGATAAATCATGAGACTTTTCTAAAATGGAATACTATGGTACCTGAACTCTGAGTTCAATCCACAGATATAAATCCCAACTACAATGCTAAGAGATTTTTTAAAAAGGAAAGGAAAGGGGCAGCCTAAGTATAGCGTGATGCCACTGGTATACACTTGAACTTATATAAAACAACTGCATATGTTGTTATGGACACACAAGTGTAGTAAAAGTCTAAAAGCACGGAGAGGAAGGAACCACACCAAGTTCAGAAGTTCCCCCTGGGATAGGGAAGGAAGGAATGGAGAATTAGAGAGAGAAGAAAAACCACAGGGAAACTTGACTGTATCTGTTACATTTTATCCTTTCAAGAAAAAAGTTCTGAAGCCAATATGGCAAAATGTTCATATTCATTAAATCCAGATGGTGGTTTTTATGACTGTTTGTTATCTCAGTCTATGAACCATTTTATATGTTTGATCTTTTTCATAACTGAACAATAATTTTAAGGGGGAAAAAGATTATATCTTGAGTAATGAAGGAGAGATAAATGATTATAAATTAAGCCTTGGGGCTTTAAGTAACAGGGGTTAAAGCATGAAAAGCTAGAAATTCATTATTTATAGACTTTAAAAATAAAAGAATATTTTAAAAATCTTTATGTCTACTGGGACTCATTCGTCCAAAGCAACTCAACTAACGTTAGTCTTTAAACTAGCTTGTTCACAAGACCTCATCTCTACAATAAATCAAAAATCAGTCAGGCATGGTAGCACGCGCCTGTAGTTCCAGCTACTTGAAAGCCTGAGGCGGAAGGATCGCCGGAGCCCAGCAGGTCGAGGCTGCGGTGGCCAGGAGCAGCCACTACACTCCAGTCTGGGCGACAGAGTGAGACTCCAACTCAAAAATAATAATAATAATTACAGTCCATTGTTTATTACTAGTAATCTATGTTATTATGTGGAGTTTGTCTGAAGTTCTAAATCTAATGAGCAAGATACCACCCCTGACATTACAAGGTAGATATTTGGACTCATACAACCTTTCCAATTTACTTACAAAGAGAAATAATCACAAATAGAGAAGAGTAGACAGACCTCATCCCAGTAAAAGTACTTTTAACCTATTAGCCTTGTCTTGGGGTTTCGTCTTTGACATGCTTCCTAATATGTATTAGGTCCAAGTCTGCATTACCCACTATAAGAACCTTATGAAACCTGAGACACAGAATTTATGCCTGTCTCAGCACCTGACTGTAGTCCCAGTTACTTGAGAGGCTGAAGCAGAAGGATCATCTGAGCCCAGGAGGTTGAGGCTGCAGTGAGCCGTGATTGTGCCACTACAATCCAGTCTGGAAGACAGAGTGAAACCCCGACTCACAAATAAAATAAACTAAAAACTGAGTTAGCATAAGCTTGGGGCAAGCAGGGGGAGAAGGGAAAACAGTGTTTAAAATATAACCAGTAGCCAGGCTCAGTGGCTCAACCTGTAATCCCAGCACTTTGGGAGGCCAAGGCGAGTGAATTGCCTGAGCCAGCGGGTTACAGTCCAGTCCGGGCAACCTGGCAAGACCTCTTCTCTACAATAAATCAAAAAGTAGGCTGGGCTTGGTGGCTCAGCCTGTAATCCAAGCACTTTGGGAGGCCAAGGCGAGTAGATTGCTGAGCCTGTGGGTTTGAGACCAGCCCGGGCAACTTGGCAAGCCCTCAACTCTATAACAAATCAAAAATTAGCCTAGTGTGGTGGCGTGTGTCTGTAGTTCCAGCTACTTGGAAGGCTGAGGCGGAAGGACCGCTGGAGCCCAGTAGGTCGACACTGAGGTGGCCATGAGTAAGCCATGGCACACCAGCTTAGGCAATGAACTGAGACTCCAACTCAAAAATATATATATATATAGTATTATTTCACAAAAAAGTTTTTCAGATACATGTACATTTATAGACCCCTGCATAGTGGGTTATGATATAAAATGTGTGCAGTGGCTCACGCCTATAATCCCAGCACTTTGGGAGGCCAAGGTGAGAGAACTGCCTGAGCCCACAGGTTCGAGACAAGCCTGGGCAACTTGGCGTCTGAGACCTTATCACTACAATAAATCAAAAATTTAGCCAGGCATGGTGGCACATGCCTGTGATTCCAGATCCTTGGAAGGCTGAGGCGGAAGGATCACCTGAGCCCAGCATGAGCACAGCAGATCAAGGCTGCGGTGGCCCTGAACGTGCCATTGCACTCCAGCCTGGGTGACAGAGTGAGACTCTGACTCAAAAAATAAAAAATAAAATAAAATAAAATCTGTATCTTCCTAAAGGTTGTCATCAAAAAAGTTTAAGAACTGTTCTACAACAATCGCATTTCAGGTGGGGTTTTAGACTAGAGAGACACTCACAAACATTACAGAATTCAATAAGCAAACAATTGGGGACTAACTTCACTCACAGAAATGTCATCAGTTTATTATCATCATAAGTCTGAGAAATTTCCCACATCTAGGTGAGAGAATTTCTAAAGCTTGGATAAATGCATTCAATAAATCAACAAATATTTACTGTGCATCTATTATGTACTATACACTATTTTTGGTGCTAGTGATATACTGGTGAAATAAACAGGAAAAAAAATGCTACCCTACAAGTTTCTCCTGGTAAAGATCCCAAGAAAGGTCTCCTCCTAGCCAGGCATGGTGGCATGCATCTGCAGTTCCAGCTACTTGGAAGGCTGAGGCGGAAGGATTACCTAAGCCCAGCAGGTCAAGGCTGCGGTGGCCGTGAGCGTGCCACTGCATTCCAGCCTGGGTGACAAGAGTGAGACTCCAACTCAAAAAAAAAAAAAAAAAAAAAAAGAAGAAGAAGAAGAAAGGTCTCTACGTACTTCTGGTGGTAGGAAGTAACCATAATGAAATATGCATATAACAATGGCCTAGCCAGGCACAGTAGCTCATGCCTGTAATCCCAGCACTTTGGGAGACAAAGGCAAGAGGACTGCCTGAGCCCAGAAGTTCAAGACCAGCCTGGGAACTTGGCAAGACCCTGTCTCTACAATAAGTTAAAAAATTAGCCAGGCATGGTAACATGCACCTCTGGTTCCAGCTACTTGGAAGGCTAAGGTGGAAGGATCGCCTGAGACCAGCAGGTAGAGGCTGTGGTGGCCATGAACATGTTATTGCACTCTAGCCTGGGAGACAGAGTGAGACTCTGAGTAAAAACAAACAAACAAACAAACAAAAAAACCCCAGTGGCCTACTCTCCAGGGAAAAGACTTTTCCAGCACCTTATTCTACCTGGTAGAAGGGAATTTTCCTGACTAGCCCCCACTAGCCTTCCTGTCTCACCTAGGGTGAGAAAAACAATTAAACACTAGTGAATGTCATAGCCCAGGGATACAGGACCACTAAAAACTCAGATTTGATCATGAAATTATAAAATGCTTCCCCTCCCCTACACCTTATCATCATACCATCAGGGATCCAATAAAATAACAGAGAATTACAGCTGAAAGAAGTGAAAGGCCCACACTCTATTTAAGAAGGAGTTTTTAGGGAAGACAAAAACAAAAACACTAGATGAATTTGAAGTTTCTGGTATGCTGGAAGCAGTGTGCTCACGTCCACAATCCCAGAATTTGGGGAGGCAGAAGCAAGAGGATTGCCTGAGCCCAGGAGTTCAAGACCAGCCTGGGTAACTTGGCGAGACCTTGTCTCTACAATAAATCAAAAAAATTAGCCAATGAGACTCCAACTAAAAAAAAAAAAAATTAAAAATTAGCTGGGCATGGTGGGTACACACCTCTAGTTCTAGCTACTTGGAAGGCTGAGGTGGAAGGATCACCTGAGTCCAGCAAGTTGAGGCTGCAGTAGCCGTGAGCATACCACGGCATTCCAGCCAGGGCAACAGAGTGAGACGCCAACTCAAAAAAAAAGAAAAAGAAAGAAAGAAACACACACACACCACTTAGGCATACTATGCTCAAACTGGAGAAAACCAAAGACAGAAAGAAAATCTTGAAAGAAGCCAGAGACGGCCAGGCTCAGCCTATAATCCTAGCAATTTGGGAGGCTGAGGCAAGTGGATTGCCTGAGCCCGCCCAGGCAACTTGGCAAGACGTCATCTCTACAATAAATAAAAAACTAGCCAGGCGTGGTAGCATGCCCCTGTAGTTCTGGCTACTTGGGAGGCTGAGGCGGAAGGATCGCCGGAGCCCAGCAGGTCGAGGCTGCGGTGGCCGGGAGCATGCCACTGCTCTCCAGTCTGGGCAACAGAGTGAGACTAAAAAAAAGAAAGAAGCCGGGCTCGGTGGCTCAGCCTGTAATCCCGCGCCTTTGGGAGGCTGAGGTGAGTGGATTGCCTGAGCACGCAGGTTCGAGACCCACCTGGGCAACTTGGCAAGACCTCATCTCTACAATAAATCAAAAATT